ATGATCTGCATAGTCAGACCCCTTATTTGCATATTCAGCCCCTCCATTAACATACTACTTTGCATGTCCATGGTTTTTCACTAGAAAACTACAAACCCTTGATTTGACAATTCTTTCCTCTCATTCAAACATGCACCCTACACACAAACTCACCTCTGTTTCCCTAATCCTAATATGCATATTCACAATAGTGTGTCTATACCCTAGTCATTCATTTATATATTTATGATACTTGGATTTCATATTCACGGCAAAGCATCTTCCATGGGTTTAATCCTCTGTGGCTGAGAGGAGTCAGTGTTGGCAGGGACTGGAAAGAGACCAAGAGGTCCCAATAGCATGCCATGGCTGAACTCTGATTTATGTGTTTCTCTTCTTGCACCCCATGCAGCCCAGGGTGGCCAGCTAAGTCGTGCACAGAGTCAGTCATATGGAGACGCCACTGACGCGAATGGAATCTCCCGAGAAAACATCCAGGAAGTGGCATCACATGGTGAGTTGCCGTGGCAATGCCCACATGGACAGTGTCAGGTGGGGTCAAGGGCAGGGCTGATGTGGCACACTTGTCTTCCCTGCAGACACTTGCTAGCAGTGATTCCGTGGACAAATCCTGGTGAGTTGACGCTGATGTGGGGCTGGGGCAGGTGGATCCAGACAGATGTGGGTGGAGCTACCCAAAGCAGTTGTGCACTTTGGATGCTGAGACATGTAAAAGGAGCAGTGGGTGCTGACCAAAGCTTGAAGAAATTCTTCTGTGAAATTTGATGAAGCTTTCTTAAAGCGTGCCAAAATGTTCTGGAAAAGGCTTCCCGGAAAGTTCTGCAATTCCTTTCCAAAACGTTCTAGAAATGCCTTCCAGAAATGACAGAAACTTTTTCTAGAATGTTCCAGAAATACCTTCTAGACTGTTCCAGAAGCTGTTTCTGCTGTGAATCACAGCTGCTATCAACATTTCCTTCTCTATTGAGGCACCTACTGCCAAAGGCTTTTGAAACCCAGGGCAAAAATCTGCCCCCTGATCTTCTGGTAATACCTGCTCTTGCATCCATCTCTAATCTTTTCTTTCAATGCTTTGATGTTCCCACAGGTAATGGCAACCACAATATCCTGGCGACTGGGTGTCCCTTTCCTGTGTTCTGTGTTCCCCATGACCAATGTGAAGCAATAAACCTGTTCCCTGTGCAAATCTGTGTCCATGTCTCATATTCACCAGTGTCCCAGCCACTGTAGACATTTCTGTCTCTGCCTTGGAGAAAGGAAGTAGGATAATCAGAAACAGAAAAACCTGGTGAGGAAGTGCACCTTCTGGTGAAAGAAGCCAGAAATAATAATTTAAAAAAAACTCCCACAGTCTCTCACGAACAAAGCCAACAGTGCATCCTTCTTCACCTCTTTGCCTTGATATTTCAAGACCCAGGGCCCCCAGCACCTGCTGGTAAATTCAGATCACCCAGAAAGCTCCAAATTTCATGCCGGTCTCTATGGACCCTCCAACCAAGTCAAATGACACATTCTCATGCACTGCTGGAAGCTGTACCTCAGGTCATGGGCAGGTAGGCAGTGAGCTAGCATGGATGCAGAAAGCTAGGCTTCCCGTTACATTCATCACATGTGGCTAGCAAATAGGATATGAGTCGCATTCAACTTAGAAATGCTTATCAGGAAAATCCCAGCACAACTCCTCCAAGGACAGAAAAAAGAAACTGTGGTGCAGGACACTGCTCTCATCGCATGCCGAGTGAACAATCCAGGATGAAATCTCAGTAACATAAAACTTGTCATGGTTCCCCTGGGGGACACAGTGTGCCATGGGCCTATGACCTACCAGGTAGACAAAGCAGACAGAGATTCACAGGTGACCTCCCACACCAAACTCCAGTCACAGAGTGATCTTGTTGTCTTATGGTGGTCACCTGCATGGCCAGGCTGCTGATCATGTGCAGTTGCTCTCTCAGCTCACACTTACCTAAGTGACTGCCCTAACCTGTTATGACACCTGTGGATGAACCTGGTATTCTGGTGCACTGTGTGGATCTTATCCCTGCTGGGAAGACACAGACATTAACTGAGAGGAAGTGCTCTTCCCCCTCCACCCTAACAGGAAGTAATAACTCAGGAAGTGTCCTTCACCCTACACCCTGACAGGAAGCACCATGTCTATCACTATATTAGGAAGTGTCCCCACACCACTGTCTCCAAACAAGATGTTTCCTGAACCAAATAGGAAGCATCTCTACCCCCGGTATCCCTACAACTAGTATTCTTGCTCTAAAAGGAAGTGTCTTCACCCTCTTTACCACCAGCTCAAGTGGTCATCCAGGGTCCGGCAGAATCTGTTGTCCCAATCAGCTTACACATATGCTGGTGGTTGCAGTTGCTGGGTCAGTTCTAGCTTCATTCCTGTCTTCCACACAAACCAATGGCTCTTGCAGTCCAGCCCGATCCTGCCCACTGCACACTCGGATCCCACGCAAACCAGTGGGAGATACAGCCTAGTCAGAGTGACCTGCAGTAACTCCAACAAGGCCCACCTCCTGCCCTGGTTCCTGTGCTTGCCAGTACATAGAACAGACTGGTCCAGTCTGTCCCACATCCCATTCAGTTCTCATACATGTCAATGAACTTTGAAGCCTAGTTATACCCAATCAGCCCCACTATCCAGTCCCCAGACATTCCACTGGGTGCCACTCTGTCTGGCCATGCCTGTCCCAATTCTGATTCTAATACTTCCTCATTGGAGCATCAACCCAAGAGGGAAATGCCCACTGTTGCCCTACTGGACCCACTCACACTTTGAGATCTTGCACTTGATAGCTTGTGTGCCATGTCAGGCTCTTTCTGATGATGCTGCAGAAAACCTCAACCAACCCAATCCCACTCTGTTTCTGCATGCTCCAGTAGGAACAGTCAATGCAGCCTGGCTTTCTCCTGATCCTGCTTAAGGAGTCTGACCTCAAATGTAGCCCTATCCAGTCTAGCCTGCCCCCGTCACAGTTCTCATGCTCACCAGTGGGAATGGTGTTCTAGCATAGGCGCCCCACACAGGCTTCTTACTGGGTTCAACCCTTCCTCCCTTGGTCACACTTGTGGTGCTCGTGGGCTTCTGACAAGTCTGGCATGGCCCATCTCACCTCAGCATTTGCCAGTGTGTGCTGTGGCCTGCCTGGGTACAGCCCACTCCCAATTTCAGCTCACACTGGTATAAGCTACAGCCTGCCCAGCCCAGTTGTGCCCCAGTCCTAGCCTTCTCATGAACTGGAATGTGTTGCAACCCAATCCTGCTCAACCCACATTCCATTCTGGTGCTCAGATTCATCAGCAGGGGATATTAACTGGCCCGAAGTAGTTCTACCACAAAGTTACTGGACTGCTCCATTTTATATTTTTTGTGCTCACCTGTAGGGACTGTGTGTCCCCATAGAGGAGTTGCCCAAGCTCCTGCAACAGAACCTCTCATACACCAGTGGGTCCAACTGTCCTGTCCTACTTAGCCCACCTTCTGTCCCACAAAGAACAGTGGCCTTCCCCGACTGGCCTTTAAACCATTGCAGTTTTGACTGTTGGGTGTTACAGCCAAGCCCAACCTGTTACACCCCCTGACACAGCTCACACATGGCTCAATAGGGATAGAGATCTGCCCTAGCCCATCATATACCTACCCTGGTTTTAGGGAGCATCAGCGGTACAGGAGTCTAGCCCAGTCTGGTGCATCCCAGATCAAGTCCACACTTGTGATGAGGAATACTGCACCCATATCCAGATCAGATAGCAATCCCCACTCAGGCCTTTGCACTCACCAATGGGAACCACAAACCAGCCAAAGCAACCGCTTAGCTCCTCAACCAGGCCTATTGCAAGCCACAGATTTCATGTGGCCCATCCTGCCCTACTCTGTTTTTGGATGCAAATGTGATTGCTGCAGCATGACTAGACTAGTCCCCATCCCTGTACCTGTGGATGATCACAGGTTCCATCATCACACCTAACTCAGCCCATCCCCACCCCAACTCTTGAGCTGACCAGTGGGACTTGTATTTCCACAGGGTTGGGCCCACTTATCCCCCACATAATCTAACCCCAGACCTGGTTGTCTCACATGCTGATTAGTGTCATGGCCGTGCCTAATGTGACCTGTCCCCTGTTTCAACATTCAGCAGGTACTGGGATCTAACCTTGCTAGACAACTCTCCAGCCACTTTCATGTGGAGCTTCACTGGTTGGTCAGCAATGTTTCATGCTAGCATGCCCTACTCAGGACTCCAATATTGGCAGGTATATCAGTCTGACCCATACAGATCTTCTGGTTTCTCCCTTCCAAATCACCTTGTCTCAGATCCTCCACTTACTTGCAAATATAGCAGCCATTTGTTGGGAGTCCCTCAGAATTAATTCCTCACTTACATGTACAGTGGCCTTCTCCATAGATTTTCCTTGGCTCTAATTCAACTCCCCCAAGACCCCAGAGCTCACCACCTTATATGGTAAAAAAGTAAAGTTACAAATCACAACCTCAAGCATTAGTCTGTTTATTTTTTTTTGTTACTCATTCAAATAAATTAAGAAAGTAAAATTGTCACCCAAGTATAGATAACACTTATAAGCAGCACACAAAAACTTCAGCTTCACAGAGTAACACTCAACAATCTCCCTAAATGTAGTTTCAACCCTTATTTCAAGCTAAGAGCAATAATTTGATACAATAAGTGAAACACAAAATTGGTATGTTCTGAACTACACATGGTTTTAGTCAAACACACTTTTCACAATGGACAAGTAGGTACAAATGTTATTAAAAACCTACTTCAAATGCTAATCCTGCCATAGCTTTTTAAGCAATCCCATTCCTGCTACTCAATGTTATTATTTTTAGAAGCTTAAGCTGATCTGGGCAAATAAATTCTTCTAAATCTTAACAAACAGCATGTCATAAGCCATGAAAGTTTTTAAATAAAAAAAATCTTTCAATACAAAAGCACTTATATGAAACTTTGTTTTTCAAAAAAAAAAAAAACATTTATCTGGACAATGTTAAAAACAAATTATCTTTTAAGACAAAATTCTTACAAAACTATATTTTCCTATATTATCCTAAAACTAACACCTCTTAAACTATTATCGTCTAAAAACTTCAGATTACTTGAAGCACTATTTCAGGTATTACAGTCAAAGATGTCACTTAGGTTTCATATATTAAACAGCAACAATATTGCTTACAATGGCACAATTATAATTTACACATAAATATTACTTCATCTATGTAGTCCAAAGTCAGAAAGAACTGCATGATCTGCAAGGTATTTTAACTTATTAGTGTAGTCATTAAAATGCAATAAGTAATTCAAGTATAGATATAAAGACAACAATTAAGGTCTCTAATATTCTAAAATTAAAGGCATAAAAATAAATGCTAAAAACTTAATTTTTCTATCTTTCATCTTCATGCCTAGATAGCAGGACATTTCTGTAGAAATTTTGTTATTACATATGTTTCCCCAGAAGATATGACATTTGAGAAAGCACGAAAGGTGTCATGATCCATAGCTTGCTTCATCAAATGCTTTTCTAACTCATTTCAATTTTTCGTTCATAGTGAGTAAGTCCTTAACCCGAGCAAACTTCCTTGGGTCCTTTGGAATCAAAAAGACAATATCTTCAACTTGGACTTGACCTTGTCTTCCAATCAACATTGCCTTGTGAGTCATTTCAGTGATGAACTCTATGACAAAGTCTTCAAGAATATCCAAGGACTCAGTATAAGGATTCTGATCATCCCCAAAACCATACATCATACATTGCAATTCTTTGGAAAAAAGTCTCTTTCTTCTACCCTGTCCACCTTCTGCACCTCCTCCAATTTCTTCATTTTCTTCCTCAAAGGTGGGGTCTTCCTCCTCATCTGCCATGACTCTAGCGGGCCAGTCCACACCGCCTCTCACTTGTGTATTTACGTACCATTTTAATGTTCAACTGAAGAGATCCTGTCTATAATGTGACAATGGCAAGGATCATTTCTAGTCGACTCTATTCAGGGTTTTCTATTCTTCCCATATGTGGTTTCCTCATTTTTTCTCCATGTTGTAGAAGTTGTAATGTTTTATGTTGTCAAATTATCTTCCAATCCAACTGATGCTTCTGTGCTCAGGAACTCCTATAACTCATTTGCTTGGCCTTTTGATTCATGAAGTTCAGTGATTATTAGATTCTTTCCTTAATTTTACTCAATTCTTTTTTCCATATGTCTGATTGTTTTTATAGAAAAAGTCTTCTGGTTCTGTATGCCTCAATCATTCTATTTCTAATCATTTCCATTGAATTTCTGATTTGCTTTATTTTATTCTCCATTTCTAATATTTCAGTTTTATTTTTGTTTCATTGCTGTTATTTTCTGGAACTTTTTATATACTTCTGGGTATTTTTTTTAACTGTGGTTGTTTTTATTGCTGCTGCTTACAGTGACAAGAGATTTTTAGATTTACTTATTATTTGTCACAAAGATAAAATATCAAGAGAAATAGATGAAGGTGTAATTCTTCCTTGTTGAGGATCTGCTTATTATTATTATTATTATTATTATCATTTCATTTTATAACACAGTTCCATAGGTTCTGGGATTCTCCCAAGCTCTCCTTCTACATTGATAGTTTCCATATCATTACAGTAGTACCGCTTACAGCCAGTTATAATTCCCTCATTGTACAGAGAGTCTAGCATCTTATTGTCTAGATAAATTCAACAGTTTCAGTGGAAGACCATCTTTGACCTTAAGGTAAGGCTGACAGATTATCATCCCCTCCAATGAAAAGCCACAACACAAATTCAACAACAGGAAGAAACATGGAATTTTACAACATTATGAAGTTAATTGACATGGTACTGAACCACCAACGTGTTAGAAAATGCAAGTTCTTAATCAAATCCTTTAACTACTTAATTTACATCTCAATTTTAGTTTATACATAACTGGCTGCTATAAATCTTAAAATGGTTATAGGGTACTACTATTCAGCTGTCATGTGTCTTTTTTCGTCATATTTATATTTAGGAGTTTATAGTATTCATGCATGATTTTTACTGAACTTTGTGAATTTTAGGCTAGTACAAACAGGCATATAACGCTAACAAATCATGTATTAGCTATTAGTGAGTGAACAGTGTTAGGAGGGGTGTGCAGAGAAATCTTCAATACCTTAGTGAGGACTAACTGATCTTTGTGTCCTATCTAGTAAGGTATATGGGAGTCCAAGCTGACTTTTTCCTGTCTGTTCTAAGCTTTCCTTATTGCTCTCTGTCTGCCCATCTGATCTAATTTTGGGGACTCCAGAGCAGTCCCAATGGTCATTGCAAGAGAGGTTAGAGAGCCAATGTTGTAACTAAGTAAGGACCAGAGAAGTTTCCTCTCCCAAGTCCCAAAGGAAGTTACTGTTCTTCCATTTCTGAGGACTGCTCAGGGCTCCTGGCTGTTGTTCCAAAGATATTAGACCCTGTGAGGAGAATTCTGGGCTTCTTCCATTCCATGCTGGAGATCTGGTAAGTAATGGTTGACCTCAGAGTTCTCAGCCTATGATCGCAGTCGAATTCCCTGTGATCTTGGCAGTTGGGATATGGTTCTTGGTGCCCATAATGACAGTCCTTTATGAGGTACAGGGAGTCTCTGGGGTCAGGACAAAAGCCTACTCCTGTCCTCTTGTTCCACTCTGGGATCCTGTCCTGCTCTGTGCATATGGCCTCATGTTAAGAGGCTGTCTTGGATCCCACTGTATGTCTTTATAGTTTTGTTAATGTCTAACGCAGATATGAGCCTGTTATCTATAAGTTACCTGTTACAATCTTGATAGATTATACTTAACATCTTCCTCACACACACTAAGAAGGTGGAAGATTTCTCTGCTCTCCCAACCCGTTGCGGAATAACATAGGGTATTAAAAGCATATCAGGTTTTTCAGTTCTTTGATATAGATCATAAGCAGTCTGTTTCTCATTGATTGTTGGTTTATTGGTTACATCACAATATCTTAATGCGTGTGATACAGGCTGTTTGAGGATGTAATAATATTACAATTTACAGGTACTATTTTTAGGACTGACATTGTTTCATCTTTAATTAGTGTAAACATGTGGTAGGTAACCTTTTGGAATTGGCTCATTTGCGTTAGCATAATGACTTCCAATTGGGCCCATTTTGCCACAAAAAGATGCGTTTTTCTTTCTTTCTTCCTTTCTTCCTTTCTTTCTTTCTTTCTTTCTTTCTTTCTTTCTTTCTTTCTTTCTTTCTTTCTTTCTTTCTTTCTTTCTTTCTTTCTTTCTTTCTTTTTCTTTTTAATAGCTGAATAATATTCCATGGAGTGGATGAACCATAGTTTTCTTATCCACTCTTCTGTTGATGGGCATTTTGCTTGCCTCCAAGTTTTTGCAATTATTGATTGTGCTGCTATTTACATAAGGGTGCATGTTGGTTTCTGGTGTAACAGGTGTTTTGGATATATTCCTAGGAGTGCTATTGCTGGATCATATGGTATGCGGATTTTCAGTTGTTTGAATATTCTCCATACTGATTTCCATAGAGGCTGCACCAACCTGTAGTCCCACCAGCAGTGGAGTAGGGCTCCCATTTTCCCACATCCTTGCCAGCAAGTGTTGGTGATGGTGGTTGTAATGTGAGCTATTCTTACTGGCATTAGGTGGTACTTCATTGTTGTCTTAATTTGGATTCCCGTTATTGCCAGGAGCTTGAGGATATTTTTCCAACATGTTTGTTTGCAATTTGGATTTATTCCTTTGTAAAATGTGCCCATCTAATGTGCCCATTTCTTGAGTGGTTTGTTTGTGTAGTTTTGGTTGTTTTGGAGATATCTGTGTATTCTGGAGATTTGTCCTCTATCTCCTATGTAATGTGCAAAGATCTCCCATTCTGTGGGTTTCTTTTTTTTTTTCAATTTATTGATTGTTTCATCCTCTATGTAGAAATTTCTTAGTTTGACATAGTCCCATTTGTTTATTTTGGTCTTGATTGCTATTGCTTTTGGTGTGTTTTGTTTGTTTGTTTCTTTTTTAGGAAGCCAGGGCCTACACCTAAATCTTGCAGGGTGTTTCCAACATATTTCCTCCAAAAGTTTGAAGGTTGCTGGATGTAGGTTTAAGTTTTTTATCCATTTAGGTTTGAGCTTAGTGTATGGTGAAAGATGTGGGTCCAACTTCTTGTATCTGCAGGCTATCAAACAATTATCCCAACAGCATTTATTGAAGAGATCTTAAAATTTCCTGGACTGTCATCTTTTTTTTAATTTTTTTTTTGTCAAAGATTATTTGGCTGAATCTGTGTGGGTTCCCTTCTGATGCATCTATTCTACTCCATTACACTCCTCTCGATTTGTGCCAATAGCAGGCTGTGTTAATAGCCACCGCCCTATACTATGTCTAAAGATTTGGAATGTGATCCCTCCTGTTAGATTCCTATTCTTCAGAATGGGTGTAGCTACTCCTGGTTTTTTGTGTTTCCAGATGAACCTTTGTATCATTGTTTCCAGTTCTATGAAGAATGTTTTGGGTAATTTGATTGGGATTGCATTGAATGTATATATTGCTTTTGATAGTATGGACATTTTAATGATACTGATTTTACCCATCCAGAAACATGGTATGTTTCTCCATTTTTTGAAGTCTTGTTCAATTTGTTCTTTTTAAAGTTTTTTGTAGTTGTCCTCAAAGAGTTCTTCTACATTTTTTATTAGGTGTATTCCTAGACAGTTCATTTGCTTTTCTGTTATTTTGAATGTCACCATGCTGGTTAGATCTTTTTCATCTTGGGGCTGTTTGCGTACACTATGGCTGTTCATTTTTTTTAAAGATTTATTTTATTTTTATTGGAAAGGTGGATATACAGAGAGGAGAGACAGAGAGGAAGATCCTCTGTCTGATAATTCACTCCCCAAGTCAGTGCAACAGCCGATGCTATGCCAATCCGAAGCCAGGAGCCTCTTCCGGCTCTCCCACACGGTTGCAAGGTCCCAAAGCCTTGGGCTGTCCTCGACTGCTTTCCCGGGCCACAGGCAGGGAGCTGGATGGGAAGCGGGGCTGCCAGGATAGAACCGGCACCCATATGGGATCCCGGGCATGCAAGGCGAGGACCTTAACCACTGCGCCATTGCGCCAGACCCGGCTTTTCATTTTTATTAGTTTATTTTGTACCCTGCCATTCTACCAAACTCTATTATAAGTTCTAGGAGTCTCTGTATTGAGTCTATTGGTTCTTCTATATATGGGACCATATCATCTGTGAATAGTAATAGCTTGACCTCTTCGTTTCCCATTTGAGTTCCTTTGATTTTTTTTTTTCTTGTCTTATAACCTCTGTGAGTACCTCTAGTATTATGTTGAATAGCAGTGGTGATAGTGGACATCCTTGTCTTGTTCCAGAACTCAGTGGGAAGGGTTCCAGTTTTTCTCCATTCAGTTTGATGCTGGCATTGGGTTGTTCATACACTGCTTTGATTACGTTGTGAATTGTTCCTTCTGTGACTACCCTGGTTAGTGGTTTTAGCATAAAGTGATGTTGGATTTTGTCGAAGGTTTTTTTCTGCATCTATTGTGACTATTACATGACTTTTGTTCTTCAGTTTTGGATGTGGTGTATTACATTTATGGACCTCCGTATGTTGAACCATCCTTGCATGCCCGGGATGAATCCTACTTGATCCAGATGAATGCTGTGTCTAATGTTTTTTGAATTCTATTGATTAGGATTTTATTGAGAATCTTAGTGTCAATGTTCATCAGGGAGATCGGTCTGTAGTTTCCTTTTCTGTTAATTCTCTATCCAGTTTTGGGATTAAAGTGATGTTGGCTTCATAGAATGGGTTTCTATTATTTTGAAGAGCTTGTAGAGGATTAGGCTTAGCTCTGTTTGGAATGTTTTGTAGAATTCTACCA